GCAACTGTCCAACGAGCAACCATCCGTCGAGCAACTGTCGGGATCCCGTTTCATTTGTTTGGTAACATTGAAATTTAAGATAGCGAATACCACAGTATGTATCTTGAGGGTGAGAATGACAAAAACAGCAAGCCTCACCTCATCCTCGAAACAAGATTCAAAAGCAGTGAAATCAATGCAAAGTAGTTGTTGGATGGCTTATTATTATCAATTGAAAAATACAAACAATGAAATTACGATTTATAAACTTCATCATTTCTTCTCGATTGTCTTTTCTCATATGATCGGATAAACATCTTCTCTTCGTTAATATTAATAAAACAAAAAGCTTCATTTACGACATTCAATGTCGTCATTTTCGCTACTTTTACTGTTTACATTTTCTACTTCAGCGTTTTCCTGCTTTTCCTTCGACATTTTCCTATTCGGTATTTTCCCTTTCTACGTTTTCCATCAAATCCCATACTTCAGAGCATGGGCGGCGGAGCGGTCTTAGTCTAGGGTAGGCTCAACTTTTAAGCCAAGCCAGCACCGAGAGTCAATTGAAAGACTTTTTTTTTCGTTTATAATGGTAAGCGCTACGGATTCTCTTGCTAGGTTTAAATTCTGTAGAATTTAATAACTAAAGGATGGTTCGAAAGTTTCGACCCCTTTCTATAAATCGATAATATCTACAACAAACTTATACAAAGTTATTGATCAAATTGTGTTATTTTGTAGAGGAAGATGAGAGTTATCATTTGAAAAAAATATTTCGAAACACATAAATCTAGTATAATGTTATGATCATTTTAGTAGCTTTGAGCTGGCATCCCACTCGACCTCTTTTTCCTCCTTTTCTTCTGTTCTTTTAAAATTCCTCTTTTTAGCCTCTTTTTTCGAAAAAATCCACTTTTTCCTCTTTTCTCACAAAGAAGCAGGTCGTTGACAAAAATATTCATGAATATATTGATTATTGTTACCGTATCATACAAAAATATCACATAACAAACTGATGTGCTGATCAGTCAAGTTGCATAGCTAAGAAAGCTAAAGTATATGATTTTAGTGATCAACTTCAGCGATATTATATATTCATAATCGGAATCCAATTTTTGTAGCTCTCTAGCGGAAGCAAAAGCACTCAATTATGTTTCCAATATGAAATAGTCATTCTCTCACGATCTTAACATGTTTTTCTGGTTAAGATCGACATGTAAAATTATAATCTCGAGCTCACTTTTCTTGACCATTTTGTCGACCCCAGAGAAGCTTGTGATATGAATCTAACAATGGATAGGTAACTCGTAGCGTAGCGCATGCTTCAAAGAAAATTGTTCCTAGGATGACTAGACTCAGTCTAGAATTCTGTCAGATTCAATGGGATTTGTTCGGCAAGATGGCTTCCGATAGTATGACAATATAAGTTGAAGATTTCTGCTTATCAGAAAATGAAGTAACCCCTCTTCCTCTTCTCCCGAGTTTCTTCGTATTCAATCACATTTTGGAGGTTCGTATATCTCCAAACCGTACACGGTGACATGTAATCATATACGAAGAAATACAAAGTAAAACTAAAAGTGTAGACCAGCTTTATTTGTCTATAAACGGTCATATTTCTGCGCATACGATCACATTACTCGGCGATATGAAACGGCGTATTTCTCCAATTACGAGCGTGTTTGCTTGACATGAGTTAATATTGACAACGGTTTGATGATACTTGGAAGAAATCGGATATCATGGAATGCAACAGCAACAAACAGGGGTATCCGATAACCAACAAGTAAGAGATTATCCAATCTACTCAATACAAGTAAGTCGTTTTATACAGAACCCAAGAAGATGATCATATGTCACTGCGAAAAATTAAGCGTTTTCGATAGCACGCGGTCAAATGATTCCCACAAACCTGCTGTCTGGACACAGTTGTAACCAATGTATTAATTTATCTTGAGAAATGGAAAAGTGAAACTGACTTGCGAAAAATGGTCAAAATCACGGAAGAATTGCCGAAAATTGAAAAAGCGCAAGAAAAATTTTCTCACATGCGCAGCCATCCGAAAAAAAGGAACAAAATGCAAAAAGGACATTTAATGAATTTTGATTGTTTCTATTTCTATATACCTACTTAGTTAGACAGTAATACTATACTCAGATACTATGCAGATAGAATATTTAGAATATTTTTCTAATGTTTTCCGGTTTTCTAATGGATAAATAAGCAGCTGCACAAAAATCTCTGAACAATTTGGAAGTTTCGTTTTTGTTTTTCTCTTTCAAGTCATATTCAATCTATACTGATAACTTACGAGTTTTGTCGGATCTATAGTACTATAGTGCCGGTGAGTTTTAGTTTTCTTCGAAAGAAAACTGTACGCCTCTTTTTCTCCTCTTTTTTTTATTAAAAAGTCTCTTTTTTTTCAAGAATGCTGGGCATCTTTTTTTCTTTTTTTTTACAAAGTGTTGGTGAGATGCCAGATCTATTTCCAAATATTTTTTCACATGATAACTCTTATCTTTCTCTAAAAGATGACGTAATTTGATCAATAACTTCATATTAGTTTGTTGTAAATACTATCGATTTATAGAGTGTGGTCGAAACTTTTGAACCACCCTTTAGAGAATTTTAACATTGAACAGAGCCTATCTGAGCCTCTTTTATCTCCTCAATCTAAGACGATTCGAGCCTACTCAAGCTTTTTCATATGTTTACTTTAGGATAATTCGAACCTGTCCAAGCCTTTATCTGTCCCAGTTTGAGCCTACCCAACTCCAATCTAGGGTAGGCTCGAGCCTACCCAGGCCTCGTGGCTCCGCCGCCTATGCTTCAGAGGAAAAGGAGCACTTCACCCGAGCCTTCCAGTATTGAATTGATATGATCATCAAATGAAGCAGCAGATATCACCTCACTGACCACTGGTATGTCACTAAACAGCAAGCTATGGCATGTTACCGACCACTTGTGAAGTTCCTATGTCCCAAACTTCACTATGATCCTCAGGAGAGATTCTAGAGCCACTGATACCGCAACTATCGGAAAATGTCCACGGCTAAGTTGGATGTGAAGCCACTGCTCAAGCTCTGCCACATCGCCTAGCAACAAAGGATTTTATTCGGGATAGCAGAAGATGAAATCGTCGATTAACGAGCCTGATGTCATATTCCAGGATTGTGAGAAGGATATTTCTATCTGTTGCTGATGCTGATTCTATTGTCTTTCCGCACGCGTAGCTCTCAACTCAGCAAGCCCACGCTGTTGGTGGTCATTACGCTGTTATTAAATTTTCTTTTTATCTGTCCATCTTTTTTACCCCTTCATCAGATATATTGATTAGTTGTGTTTTTTAATTGATCGTTTTATTCAGAATTAGACCGATCTTGATCAAATTGTCTATATTAATCTTCAGTGATCGTGCCATGCTTTAAAGTTAAACGACTTAGTGTCCACAGATAGCCGGCCAACACCCAGTGAAATACAATGGGAATACTTCCTGGTGGTAGCCAACGTCGTTCTGGATGAAGTGCTCCAGAAATGAAGTAGCGCGCCACCATAAAAACAGCATAGGCACTGCTGAACCAAAACAGAAAATAGCCTACTCGCTCCCGGCGTGTTAGCAGGTATTGGTTTCCTCGCATGACGCCAGTATTGATGCGATACATCACATAAAGAATCACAATTTGCGTAGGTAGGAGTAGTGGGTAGTGTAGTAGTCCCGAATACCATTCTGCCATGGGTGGAAGAAAACTAACGTTGAGGAAAACAACCAATATCTGACCCAATACCCGTGCCAGAAATAATCCAGAGAGAATCCATAGGATCGTTGCATATTTTCGTCGGATTTCCTTGCTCATTTTTGACTTCCCAATGCTTGTCGTGTAAAAAGAATGCATTCATTTACTTCTTCTAACGCCAGGCCAAAAGTACACTCACCTTCAGAAAAAAAAATCGAATATGAAAGAAATGGCGTTAATAGACGAAAATTTTTCGTTCATGCCTACGTCACTTTTTCTGTTCTCTGACTCTCTCGGGTGACGAACAATATTTTTCTGTCGTAGTGATGGTCCGTAAGGCGTAAAAAATATTATACCTTCATTTTCATATCGTTACAAATCGTGACAGAACAGAAAAGAAAAAGTCATGATGTAGGCGAATACAGTCGTAAGAGAAAAATGCAGAACCAAAGTAAAAGCTTATAATTAGTGTTGTGACGAACACAAGACGTTTCTTACGTGTTACGATATATGTCGAGCATGGGAACAGAACGAAATAAACAACTATAAAATATAGATTGCAATGTGATGTGTTCTGAATCTGCTGTACAACTAACAATGAGAGTAATTACGTCAACTATCATAGAATAGTGCATTTAATTCAATTTTTAGTTTTGACGATAAAAATTGAATATAAAAAGCTGTCTTAAAAGTAATTTTTATTTCAATTACAAGAAATATATCATTTGACTGCAGATGTACAGAAATTAAAATTTTATCCGGAACACAAGCTGTCAACTTCATCTTTCATTTGAATTTAAGAACAATCAACTAAATTTTTTTGTGTC